CAAGGGCTAAGTAGTGTCAGGCTGCAGAGGACAACCTGTGGTCCAACAAAATCACAACCAGGGAGCATGGAGTGCCACCAGGAAACAGGGTGGAGTGGGGCGTCTTTTCCAAAGTTTGGGTCCCCATGGAGGGGTTCTGGAAAGGCCTAAAGAAAGCAGGGGTGAATTCTGGATTGGTGACTGTCTCTGAGGCAGGATTAGGAGTGTCAGGGTAGCTAGAGGCTGGGTCTTGGGGCAAGGTTGGCTTAGCCATTGGGCACCCCAAGGAACAGATAAAAATAGCAAACACTGTCAGTCAGTGGGGGTCTCACTGGTAAGGAAGCACCAGTGACTCAGCAAGGGGGCAATTGTGGCATTTCACAGCCGCTGTGTCCAGCTCTGTCTCTCTCCTCCAACCTGAAGAACAGTCAGGCTACTTTTGGTGCTCACTGCAAGTCGATTTTCTTGCCTTTAGTCCCATTCAAGTTTTTATTCCTTCACAACCAAGTCAACAAAAATCAAAGCACAATTGCTATCACAGCATCTCTGTTGCTATTTTTATTTCCACTTGCACGTTGAAATGGCCCAAAAGAAATGGAAGCAGCTAGGGCTGGGTTACCGATGGGGGAGCTGGGAAGGGGCTCAGCAAAACCACATCTCATGAAGATTCACCTCGAGAAGCAAACTAGGCCCCTCCCTGGTGGTGCAACGGGTTAGGGCGCAGCACTGCAAACCAGCTGCAACCACTTCAATGTGAGTTCGATCCCCAGCCCTGGAGGAGATCCACGTGGTGCGGCAGACCTCTCCTGTCTCGCCTGCTGCTCCCCTCAGCAGTGTACTTCATCCATCTGCCTGTTCCGTTTCCCATTCTGTCTCTGGTGAAGGCTCTCACCACACCTGCATCTCTGGCCTCTACCCCAGTTCTGTATGCATAAATAAAAAATAATTTTTTTTTAAATATATACTACATGGAGGTCAAACTATACGAAAATTCCCAGACATATGTCTTGCTCCTGAGAGTGGTGCAGTGAGAGAAGACGGGTAGAGGGAAGTTCTGCAAACCTCATGGGCTCTCCCCAGTTTGGTGGAAAAGGAATTGTAGGTTTGCGAGTGCCCACATGGCAGGGTAACACCTGCTACTTGTCTCCCGTTAGAGATAAACAGCATTTCAGATGGAAAAAGTACTAAGAGGCACTTGGCAGGAAGCTGGCAGGAAGAAAGTATTTAGGCAATAATAACTACTATACTGCCACGTGCATGGACCTTGAAAATATTCTATGTAAAGTAAGCCAGTTATAAAAGCATCTCTTGTATGACTCCATTTACAGGCGATGGCCTGAGTAGACGAATCCAGAGACAGAAAATAGTTCATGGATTGAATAGGGAGGAAGTAGAGGCTTTAGGGGGCAATACTGGCTGCTAATGGTACAGGAGTTTCTTTTTGGAGTGATAAAAATGTTCTGGAATTAATTGTGCTGCACGACTCTTGAGTATTAAAACCCATTGGCTGTATACTTTAGGTGGATTTTTCAGCCTGTGAATGATTTCAACAAAGCTCTGTATTAAAAAAATAATAATAATCGGGGAAACTGGGTGTGGTCTATCTGGAAATTCTCTGTGCTATTTTCACAATTTTGTCAATCTAAAACTCATCAAAAATTTTAATAAAATAACAGATGAAGAGAACAGAGCCCAGCCACCCCCCAATCCCTCTGTCCTAAAACAGGGAGATTGCAAACCAGTCTTCGACAAATCTTCAGAAGAGGAGGAAGATGCTCGAAGGAGTCATGTAACTGAAGAGGAGAATGCAGAAGCCACTCTTTGTGACACTAGGAAACTATTGACCGGTCATGTTCCAGGTGCAAAATAATAAAAAATAAAAGAAACCTCCATGGTCCCTGTGCAAACCTCCCAGGGTACCTCTGCAAGGGGAAGATGAAGTACACAAGCGAGAAGAGGACCTCAGGAGACAGAAGACAATGGTGGGTAAAAGGCAAGCCCAGCCCAACACTACTCGCATTTCCAAAAAGGCCAGTTACGACTCTGGTGCTTTGTGAGGTGGAACCTTCCAACTCCCCCAACTGGCTATCCGGCTGCGGATCAGCTGTGATATTTCAAAACATGGAAGGAGGATGCAGGCCTGTTGGGGGACTTGGAATGACCAGGGAATCAGGGCTAACCTTGCCTTGTTCTGTATCAAAGGATCAGGGAAGAGGAATCGGGAGGAAGTGAGGGTGAAGGGTCCATTTCTGTCCTCTGGGGATGCATGGGCCTTGGGTGTGGCCTGTGAGAGGTACCAGAAAGAAGGGAGAGACAGAGGGCAGGCAGGCATGCCCTAGGCTTGCAGCCATCCCTTAGCAGCGATAAAGTTTCTGTTCTGTTCCGATTTCCTACCAGTAGAGGGTGAAAGCAATGCCTGCCTTCGGGCAGCCTGTGAGTAGAGTGGGCACTGAATCAGGCCAGCTCATATAGCTTAGTTGTGCTGCCCAGCTTTCAGTGATGTAGGCTTCCATGGGTGGTCACGGTGTTTATTTCCACCGTGTTTTTATGTGTACATGGTTCGGCTTGTCAGCTAGTCTTTCTCGATAGACTGCAGGGTTGCTGAGAAAGATCTGAGCGTAGCCTACCCTCAACACTGGGCAAGGAGCCAGGCCCAGGAAGCTTTGTCTCCAAGTACAATGCCAGTGGGTTCAGAGGCCAAGCAGAGACACAAACATTTTGTAGGAATTTGCAAACGCAAATTCCTACAGAAAAGCAAAATAAATTTGAAGGCTGGGCCAAGCAACTTTGAAGAGAAGTCTACTCTGTGGAATAAGGAAATTTTCAGAATTTTCAGTGGCAAATGTTAACCCCACAGCTGTTATTTCCTGGAAAAGTGAATTTGGATGACCTGAAAGACCATGGTTTTCATGCCAAGTGTGATTTATTCTGGAAGTAGGTATCTTCTAGGATTTTTTACTGCGTGGGGTTTTGTAAAGATTTTTTTGGTTTGTTTTATATATTTTTTTATAGCTTTCTTCATTTTGTACGTTTTTTCATGTTATTTGTGATCCCCGTGGACTTCCTACTACTACTTCACCCATGCGCCTTCACCAAAGTCACGGGTGTTCTTCCCACCCCCGTTTTGATCTTAAGAGGTGGGCTGTTGTTCTTATAGCTCTAACTGCCCAGGGGCAAAGACCTTATTCCACAAACTGCCTTATATGCAGCCCCTTGAGGAGTTTTACAACTGAGGAGGGTCTGGAGGATTTGGGAGCAGAGCCTGGAGGAAGCTCACATGCTTCATTAACAAAAATAATAAATATAGGGCTCTCCCTGGTGGCGCAACAGATTAAAGCACCACTCTATGAAGCTCTCCGAAGCTACCCGAGCTTGAGTTCAATCCCTGGGTAGGGAGGTGGCCCACATGGTGCGGCAGATCTCTCCTGACCTGCCCGCTGCTCCCCTCAGCAGTGTACTTCAATGATCTGCCTGTTCTGCTCCCCACTCTGTCTCTGGTGAATCTCACTGCCCCTGCACCTCTGGCCTGTACCCCAGTTCTGTATGAATAAATAAATAAATAAATCTTTAAAAAAAAAAATGTAGGTGGGAATTCCTACACAAGTTATGGAGGAGGCTTGAGGACATTATGCTACATTAGCATCATTAGCATAATAAACCAGACAGGCGGTCTGGCTGCACTTACATAAGGTCTCTACAGAAGGCAGAGCCTTAGGGAGAAAGCAGAGCTGTGTCGCCAGTCTGGAGCAGAGGGCATTTGGAGTTATTGATCCATGGGTCTAAAGTTTCCATTTTGCAAGATGAAGAGTTCTGTGGCCAGATCACGGTGACGATTGCAAAAATACAAATGTACTTAGTATTGCTGAGCTGTACAGTTAAAAACGGTTACAATGGTAGGTTTCATGTTATGTTGATTTTAAAATGCAAAAAAAAAAAATGGAAAAAAGAAATGTGGGCTTTCCGAGGGCAAACTGGCAACAGCAATCTGGCAAGGGACATAGTTGATATAAGAGATGCTGCTGTCTGGGAAACAACCCCAGTGGGACAGTGGCCAAGGATTTTTAAAAACAAGATGACTTAATATTGACTGTGGTGAAGCTGTTTGCTGGGTTCACAGCAAATCTCTATCCAGCCCCTGATCTGGACTGAAGCCTGCTACACAGAAAAATTTTGCATCAACTGAATCTTTGAGAAAACCTGGAGAGACCAGTTCCATCTGCACTTTTGTGCTGTGGAGCAGCGCTGTGTCTCCTTGGGCTGAACTGTCACAAGAAGTGTGACCTTGACAGTGACTCCCCCCCCCCCCCCGGCATGCCCCCTACCTTTCCTGGGCATTCTCAAGGAAGACATGGGAATTCTAGAAGGTCAAGTCCTTTTCTTTAGATCTTAAAGGCGAGGACACCGTAGATGCATCTGGGCCACATTTATGAAATGTCCCTTTCCTCCTGGATTTTGCCAACCACCATTTTTTTTTTTTTTTTTACAAACCCTTGTGCTTTTCAGAAATGCAGCTACAAATTTTAGCGAGCTTGGCTGTTGGGAAAGCTGTAGAGGATGTTAGAATAGAGCAGGAATTCTGGAAGGAATCGTTGAATTGGAATCCTGACTCTACCTCTCACTGTGTGGCCTGAGACAAGTTATTTTCACCTTTTGGAGCCTTCATTTATTCGTCTATAAAATGAACGTGATATGAACATTTTACCTTGTAGAGCTCTTAGGAGAATGAAATACCTCACTGCACATGAAGACGCGGAACAGCTCACAGAGCTGTTAGCTACGTCAGCACGGCGGGGGGGCAGCGGGGTGCTCAATAATTGTTACTGATGATTTTCCTGAGGAAGCCTGTGGGTTCCTCAGAACTCTGGTGTCTGGGCTCAAGGAGGGGCAGAACCCCTTTCTCTGGCTGCCCCAACTACCATCCACCCTTGAGTTCTCTGGAACATGAAAGAACGGATCAGCAGCCGTAAACAGTCGGATTTGGATTTTCTTCAAATGAATGGGGATGGTTCAGAGCTCCTCATCCCTGCTCTTGGAATAAATGACCCCAAGCACATATCTACTGGCAGGAAGGTGAAACTGGCCTCTTAAGGAGGAGGCTGTATTTTAATAGGCTCTATGTGATAGGCGATGTGGTACTGCTTTGGTCGAGACCTGGCTAACCCTGAAATCCAACTCATCATCGTAGATAAGTGGGCCATTTGCTTAAAAGTCTTCAGCTCTCTGCTTTGGTCTTCTCCTCTGTGTTCTGGCTTGAATGCATTCGAAGAACTTGTGCCTTCCCAATATATTCTGAGAGAAAGGGAGACAGCAGGTAAGGGAAGATGAGGGGGTCTCCCTGGAGTCCCCCCTTCCTCCGCAGGCCCCCAGCTGATATATGTGAGCCTTTCAAGCTCAGTTTGGCCGTGGGCTCTACTAGTAACCTGAGAGGAGTGGAGTCCCTTTGCTGATCCTCATCTCCGCTCTCTTCTTTCTACACCCAGGTAACAAGTATCTTTGCAGGCCCACTCCATGCTAAACACTCAGTCAGGCACTTAGGTCTAGTCAGGGGGAGAATAACATACTCCCAGGATAACTGTGCTCCTCTCTCACCTCAACCCCCACCCCCTGATCTGGTCTCAGGCATTAGCTTAGTACAAGCACCTCCTCCCCATCTCCGTTATGCCCTCCTGCCCCCCAAACATCTGTCTTCACACAGTAGTCATAGGGCCCCCCACATCCTGCTTATGAACTCTCCAGTGCACCCCAGACACAGCACCTTTCTCACAGGCTACCTGTCTCATCTCGTTTTGTATTACTGTCCCCAAACCATGTGTACCCCAGCCCCCCACCCCTGTCTTCTTGCTTCCCACCAGCACAGCAGGCAGTGGCCCTCCTTCTAGGTTCTCTCTGGAAAGCATTGGCCAGGGTCTTCCAGTTGTTCAGCTCGTGGAGCCCTCTCTCACTTGCCTGTACTTCTTTCTGTCTATTACGGCTATTTCTCACATCACCTGCTTTAGGGCAGGTGTTTTTATTTATTGTCTGCGCTACACCTTACTAGATGTAAGTTCTTCATATAAGCCCTCAGCAGCTAGGATTGTCTGAATTTTCCCTCAGATTCCCAGAGCCTAGCATACAGATGCTAAAAAATTTCTGTGGGGTAGATGGATGGATGGATGGATGCATGCATGCATGGATGCATGGATGGATGGATGCATGCATGCATGCATGCATGATGCATGGATGGATGGATGGATGGATGGATGCATGGATGGATGGATGGATGGATGCATGGATGTATGTATGTATGTATGGATGGATAGATGGATGCATGAATGCATGATGCATGATGCATGGATGGA